CCGTGGGTTGGGCGGTGTTGCTATGCGGCACTACAGAAACATCTGATGTCGATGTACGTCCCAATGTGTTGAGTAGACCGACCAACAGTGCAGCAGTTTCTGTAAGGACAGCTTTGCAGCTCGAATAAAAAACTGATAAAGGGAAAAAGTGATTTCATATTTGATTAAATTAGTTAGTGAAGCTTGAAGTAACCAGCCATCTGCTTTACCACTTCTATTTACTTTCTGTCTTACCGCAGTATACCAGCATAACTTGCTAAAATTCTGATCCTTTTCGGTCTACAAAGACTACGGCAGAGTGTAACAAAAGTTTTGGTGATCTGGCCTATGCCAAATAAAACTGACAGAGTACCGACAACTGCCTTTATATGATTGATTTTGGTACTGATTTTAGCACTTCTTACGTGGAACATAACTTTCGGTAACGTACAGTCGGCGCATTTTAGCTTGAAAATTATTCATCTTGGAGGCGTAATCATTTGGTTGGACGACGCATTTCAATATGGTTGAGCTGGATACGGTTTGCTGCTTGTGTCACCATGACAAATTACTTCATTCTTCGTTGTCGCTTTTACAGTGATGTACAAGGCGGAAAAGAAAGTTCTTTTACAGTGTTACCTTTTGATTTAAATTTTGAATTCGTGGTGAACGAAACCAAAGTTTTACATTACTAGTAGAGTACTTTGACGAAAAGTTGAATTTGTTTGACTTTAACAGGTGCTGGATTAACTATACAGATAAGTAAATAAACGGCTTATACTTCAAAAATAATTTAAGGACTTGAGAACAAACCAATGCAGCTGGTGATGAACTTTTTGCTATGGTAAAACAGCATACCAGAAAGCGATTCAGCTATGATTTTGAGGGTGGTTTTCAAGAAAGGGAGTTGGAACTGATTGAAATTGAGAACAGTGTACAAACAAAAGTTTACATTAATTGCGGCAAAGAGAAATCTTCTGTTTGGAAGTTATTTTCAAACTTTTGACTCTAACTAAAAGTAAGTTATGGCCTTTGGCCGGATAGCCGGCGTAAAAAACGCTTTGTTTGTAGTTGAGAACTGTTTTTTGCATTTCCTAGGTTTAGAAAGATATTTAGACGGAATTCAAGGTGTTTGATTTTCAAAAAAACCATTGGAAGTGGGGAAAATACACGGTGAATTTTGCTCTTTTTTTTATAAGCAGGAACTTTAAGAAACGTTTCAATTCTGTAGGTTGACCAGTTTTTTTAAGGCGCGAAACTTGTTATTTCTTAAGTGGCTAATTTTTATAAACGAAAAGTAAATGGGATAGGCTTTGGTGAATCGCACAAAGTTTTTAAATCCTACTCTTGGAAGCAGATTTTTGACAAAATCACAAGAAATGCCAATGAAAAAATTTAATTTATATTTTTGGTAACTGTAACAGAACTTCTGAGCGTCGTATTGTACATTTTGTTGAATTGACAATGGGGAATTTTACTTTCTAAACTTTTTTGTATGCACTATTAATGGCAATCTTGCGTAATAATGTACATTTAATGTTTTTAGTGCTACCCTCTTCTGTTTACTTAAGTTATTATTGATTGATTTTAGCCGGCCGGAAATATTGCTGATTCACTATCACAAATTTTCGTTTTGTGCCCTCGACCAGAGGTACGCCAACAAGCCTACAACATTTTAGGTGTTAAAAGTAATCATGACTTCGCCGTTAATTTACAAAGCAGGATTAACGCATTTTTAAAACACGACTCGAAAAAAAAAGAAAAAAGGTAAAATACACATTTAATAAATTGGCCATTAAGCTTCCAATTCTTTATGGATAATTCCAGTCATAACCAAAATGATTCTCGCTGCCTTGTAATAAACGGCATTGTCGTAATGGTCTTATTGTTGCTTTAGTTACACTTAAAGCACACAGTCGCAAGTTCAATTAGGTTATTTTATTACTGTATTTTTCAGTGTAATTGAACCTGTAATTTAAAGAGGAAAAAATCACTGTGAACAAAAATTAAGAACGCTATTGTCTTACCCAAACTTTTAGACTGGTGTACGCGAAAAAAATTCTTCTTGTTGGCTCTAACAATAATGGAATAGTCAGAATCTTCACTGTTTCCAGGTCCTGTTTAGAAATCAGGAAAGAGAAAGAATTGGTCAGCAAATACATTCGTCTTCATTTTGGCGACTCGTCATTTTGTGACCGCATAAAGGGTTGTCTTGAAGGCACTTCTGATTTGGTCTCCAGTCAATCCTTCAATGCACAGGTATCTCTTCTAAGTTTAAGCATATTTGATGTACTGTTTTTGTTTGCTTTTCTCTGCGTTAAAAGTGATTTCCGGATACCATGAATTCGTAATTATGCTTACATATTATTGCTTTTTCAGTCAGAGTCGTCTTCGTCCTCCTTAAGCACTAGTGACTTTTCCGACAGCGATACAGAAGAATCTGGAAAACTTCGTGTCTTAGCAAGAAAGAATTTTGTAGCCTTTTACCGACTTCAACAGCTTTTAAACTAATATAAACTTTTTTTCTCTTTGCGCCCACAGCTTGCAACTTCGGTTTAATTCAGCCTATTTG